TAAATTTAATTTTAGTACTTTTTAGTATTTTCTATAGTAATATCGGGGGTTTTAATGAGGTCAACCAAAAGAAATGTTGAGTATTCAGTGAAAATAGCCAATTTAAATTTCTGACACATTTTTTGGGAGGGAAAAAATTTAAGCACATTTCATGAAGTTGGACATCTTGTCTAGATAAATACTTACCGCAAATTCTTTTTTTACTTTTTTGCTGTTATAAATTTTCACACATGTCTATAAAAAAGGGAAAAAAGAAAATATATACATTTAAAGAAAACAAAAAATTTAAAAATTTGATCCCATCAAAATTATAATCAATACATTTATACGTTTTAAATTTCCGTTAAATTTTAAGCTCTACAGAATTTAAGTTTGTTTCATGGGGTTGGGGTTTTCCTGATGATTTTTCTGGGTCACACATTTGCAGAAGTTTTGCTATAACATGTGAGTGACAGTGAAAATCTCGCATCTAAATAAAAGAACTTTATCAAAAAGCAAAAACTTTTCCACTCATAATACAAAAAAACACTGGAAATTTGAAAAGGAGATATTTTTTCAAGTTTAACCAAAAGCCCCAGAATCACTGTGGTAACTTTTTCTGTAAAGGGCAAAACTCCAAAATATTAGCTTTCACAATGATCGTTGGCTTTGTTTTACAACGCACGCTATTGTTATCAATATATATATTGAATTCAACATTTGATCCAACATTAAAATTCAAAATTTTAAATACAATACAATTTAACACCCTTTTTGCAAATCCCAAATTTTTTTTTTAATCCTTGCTTGCTGGAATCAGTATAACCTAGCTTGAGGCAACTATAATTTTTTCAGATCAATTTTTTTGTTTTTTGTTACTCAGAAATCCCTTACAAATTTTGAAACCAGAGACACTAGAACATTTTTCATGTGTTCTTTTTATGTTTTTTTTTAATGATGCAAAACAGGCATGACACATTTTTAAATTTTTTATGTCACATATAAATTATTTAAATAATTTTCCGCTGCAAAAACTATTTAAATTGATATATCACCAATATTTGGGATTTTATTAAAGATATCAAAATTTCTTCAATGGCATCCTATATCAAATATACCTTTTTGGTCTAATTTTTTCTAACATTCTTACATAAACAAGGTTTCAACTTAAAAAAAACAGAAAATTACATTTTTAAAAAAAAAGTCGGGGAAAATTTTTAAGGGGGCATACTCACTTTTCCCTTCTGAAAGGGGCGTTACACTGTATTTATTTCGATTTTCCCCTTTTTCCTGTTTATACTGGCTTTATTTTTTCCCTGGTAAATAAAAAAAGTTCATAATGTATCAAATATTATTCCAACAGTATTTAGGTCATTTTTCTATCATGTTTAAATATTTTAAGGTAACTTTACAAATTGAAATTTAAAAAAGCACATTAGCATGAATGGCATTTCAATAATATTAGAGGACATGTATATAAATTCAGTAAACAACAACATTTGAGCCGCATTTTAAACAAAACCAACATTAAAGGGTTTCGACCGCAGCCTGTAAAAAAGTAAAAAACTGGTAGCAAACAGCATGGATCCTATCAGGGCTGCCGGATGCGCGGCTTTCGGTCCATGCTGGTTGCAAAACCCCTTATGGGTTTTGTCGTGACGCGGCTCATTTTTTTTCTTGTTTGGTCAGTTTTATCATATGTTATATTAGTATGTTGCAAGCATTTCCTTTTTTTTTTGTGCAGTTTGCTGTAATCTACAGTGTTTAAATTCAAATGCTCATTATATGCTTTTTAATTTCAAATAAAAAAAATGCATGTAAATATTAAGTGGATCAGATGCAAGAGTTTTAAACAAAGGGGGGGCAACATGTAAAAAAAATACTTTTTTAAATTTCCAATTATTGCTGTAAAACATAAGAAGGGAAAATCAGGTTTTTTGACTTAAAAAACCCTGTTTCAGGAGTAAAAATACTTTTTAAATTTGACAAGAAAAATCAATGAGTAATTTTTAGTACCCAGAGAAGAAACAAATTACTTTGAAGTGCTGTTTTAAGCATAGACTAAAATCCTCAGTTTTATCAACTGGTTGAACTTAAAAACTTATTGAATATAAAAATGGTGAGCTCACTCCATACATTCTGCTTGCCTTTCTGTGTAATGCTTCCTGGCAGATTTCTAGAAATAAAAATTATTGATAAAGAACTAATGTTACTTTTTGTTAATCCTAATAACCTGCTGCATTGTGTAATGGGATCAGCATTTTTTCGCTTTTTTTTTGTTGAAAAGTCCATTTTATTAAAAGAGGTTTCTATTAACAAAACTATACAAAAAGTTGAGAGAGTCTGGTCATACTGTATGCACATAGCAGGCCAGTCTAGCTCTATCACTGACGCAAAGGGTTAGTTAACACTTTCAGTTCTAGGAAGGTGAAGTTTAATTAAAAATGTATCATACATACTGGTTATCATCGATAGAAACAATATCGATTTTTCTGTTGATCAACAATAGATCAATACACATTTCAAAAAATAAAAATTTTGACTTTTTGAATCAATTAAATGTCTAGAAATTTAAAAAAATCACCCTGAACAATATACAGAAGCAGGTGTCCATGTCTAACTTTGATATGATGTTGTAAGTAATGGAAAATATTTCATAGCTATGATGACAAAAAAAATGGTCAGGAAAAAAAAACTTGCAATGAACATTTATAAACAAAACACTGAACAGAACTATGGTATTTTACTGAAATCATTTAAATTGGTATGAAAATGAATCACAGACAATTATAGGTAATTATCGATATATTTCAATGTTTCATTGATATTTGTAACTATAGAAAAATATCGCGGAAGTAAAATAATACTTAAAATCCCCAAATACAGAACTTTTTACATGTTCATACCCACTTTTTTTCAATTATGTGGAAATCAAAATGCAAAAAGTAATAATTAAAAGCCTTGCACAACCCAATATATCATACTGAAATATCATCCAATAAAGTAAATGTTATATTTTATGAGTGTAGGACAAAAGCCCTCCCGGACAAAAGCCCTCCCGTTAAAAAGTGACAAGGCGGACATAAGCCCTCCCTAGAAAATGACAAGGCGGACAAAAGCCCTCCCGAGAAAATGACAGGGCGGACAAAGGCCCTCCCGTTAAAATGACAGGGCGGACAAAAGCCCTCCAGTGAAAATAATAGGACGGACAAAAGCCCTCTCGCAGCAAATACATATATGTACGTTGAATAGTTTTTATTTTATGTTCAATGCACTCAACATATTAAAATTGTAATCATGAATATTTTTGTTTTGCATTGGCATAACCATGTTTGTATGGGCTTGAGCACATTCCTGAGAAGTTAGTGCTAAAATCTGTAAGTGCATATTTATTCACATAGATATGAAGGATTACTCCTATGTGAAGTTAATATTAATAGAGTAATAAATGATGAAAAGAAGTTAAAATCATCTAACTTAAAGTTAAAGACATTTATAATGTGCCTGGTAATGAGTCAATTACTTTTAAAAGTGATATTGTTTTTACGACATTCGTGTTAAAAGTTTCCTCGTTAAACATTTCAGGAAGGTATACTCATAATAAAAGGTGGTTCTAGATCATACACATACTTAGGCCACTTGAAAACAATAAGAAATATATGAAACAATTTTAATATGTTGAGTGCATTGAAAAACACAGGTATTCAACATACATATTTATTTTTATTATGGGAGGGCTTTTGTCCGCCTTGTTAATGGGAGGGCTTTTGTCCGCCCTGTTATTTTTACGGGAGGGCTTTTGTCCGCCCTATCATTTTCACGGGAGGGCTTTTGTCCGCCTTGTCATTTTTCACGGGAGGGCTTTTGTCCGGGAGGGCTTTTGTCCGTTTCCCATATTTTACAGTTGCCATCAATATTGAAACAATCCATTTCACTGAATAAAACTTACTTATTTTTTCCAATAATTCTTCCTTTGATATTTCAGGATATGTAGGACTTCCGTTAGTATTGCTTCCTCCATTAGGTCCATTAGAACCGCATGCTTCTTTTACAGGGTACTGAGCTTCTATTTGTTGCTTTTTACGATCAATTTCACTTTGTTGTGGGTTTGCCATTTTTCCTAATGCCCTGTGTAACAAAGTCTAAAATTGTGATTTAATATTTTCAAAAATACAAAACATTATCATTAATTATCATTATTTATATTACTGCTGTGGTCACAACTGTTAGTTCTTCTTATATGCAATTCCAGCTATATTCTGTTTGTACAGTGCACTTTATTGTACAGTTCATTATTGCATGGTCTGTTAAGATTTTATAAGCTTAATATTAATTGGCTTTTATATACTGGTCTTAAAAACCCTTTGAACTTAAATATACAGATAGCTGCCATCACAATAATTCAGCATGAAACATTGTTTAATGTTATGATAATTACTGCATTTAAATACACTTCAGCCTCATTAAAACGCTCATGTTGGGGTCCAATGTCTCACCACCGCGTTCTAACGAGGCTCTCATTAGAACGCTCATTGCGAAATTACCGCATTACCCCACCCACCACATATTATATATAATGCTGATTTTTTTTACTTACTGTTCAATGAATATCGACATTATCTTTTTCTAAAGCCATTCAATGATGTAAACATGTATTATATTCACAATAATACTAATTATATTTAAAAGAAACGAAAAATTTTCGAAAGAAAATTATAAATCATTAATGTAGTGTAAACACTAACAGTTAGCCATTACTGTAATGACGTTTGATTAACTAGGTGACACAACTAAAGCTGGACTGTAAATAACACTGTAATTTACAGTCCAGCTTTAGTTGTGTCCCCTAGTAAATCAGACGCCAATTACTTCCTGTCATGGCCACTCTATTTACAGTGCAGGATTTTAAATTGATTTTGGGCTTGTGGGTTATTTAATTCAGCGAGGTTTACATGTCAAAGATATGTGTGTGAATTTTAGTTTATTTATACTCACCACCGGTTGCCAATTTGTCACAGTTATGATATGAATTTGAGATTTTGGAAACAATTTGAAGACAGGTAAAACAACAAAAGAGCAAATAAACGCTTACCTAGGCATGTTTTTCACACCTTTGGCGCTCATAAATGTCTTAATAACAATTGTTTATTGTACTTGACTGTCAAATTAAGCAAGCGTTATAGCGCGCTATAAATCTAAGTCTACTTAAAAAAAAATTAAAAAAATTTTTGGAAGTTTTTTTTTTTTTTTTAGGGAGCCAAGGTCTATGAGCGCTCTACTGAGATTAGTGTTATAGTGAAGAGCGAGTTATTGAGGCTACAGTGTATATTTAAATAAAGATATGGTGTTTAAAAATAAATTGAATTGACAGCAAATGACTTAATTTTAGTACTTTTAGTACATCTAGTAGTAATAACAGGTTAATGAGGTTAACTTTAACAAGAAATGTTAGAAGTATTCAGTGAAATATAGCCATATTTTGAATTCTGACATCACTTTTGGGAGGGAAAAATTAAGCACATTTCAGTGAAGTTGGACATCTTGTCTAGATAAATACTTACTCTGCTAATTCTTTTTTTACTTGTGCTGTTATCAATTCACACATGTCTATATAAAAGGAAAAAGAAAATATATACAGTGAAAGAAAACATAAAATTGAAAAATTTGATGCCATCAAAAGTTATAACTCAATACATTTATACAGTTAAATTTCCGTTAAATTTTAAGCTCTACAGATATTTAAGTTTGTTTCATGAGGTTGGGTTTTCCTGAGTGATATTCTAGGTCACACATTTGCAGAAGTCATGCTATAACATGTGAGTGACAGTGAAAATCCCGCATCTGAATAGAAGAACTTTATCAAAAAGCACAACATTTCCACTCATAATACATAAACACTGGAAACTGAAGGGAGATATTATTTCAAGCTTAACCAAAGAGCACCAGGAATCACTGTGGTAACACTTGTCTGTAAAGGGGCATAACTCCAAAATATATAGCTTTCACAATGATCGTTGGCTTTGTTTTACAACTGCACGCTATTGTTATCAATATATATCATTGATATTCAACATTTGATCCAACATATATTCATAATTTAGAATATCAATACAATTTAACACCCATTTCTGCAAATACCTAATTTTTTTTTAATCCTGTGCTTGCTGGAATCAGTATAACCTAGCTGTGAGGCAGACTATAATGTTGTCAGATCAACTTTTGTATTTTGTTACTCAGAAATCCCTTACAAATTTTGTAACCAGAGACACATACTGAACATTATTTCATGTGTTCTTTTATATGTTTTATTTTTAATGACTGCAAAACAGGCATGACACATATAAATTTATTATGTCACATATAAATTATTTAAATAATTTTCCGCTGCAAAAGCTATTTAATTTGATATATCACCAATATTTGGCATTTGATATACATGATATCAAAATTTCTTCAATGGCAGTCCTATATTAATATACCTTTTTGGGTCTAATTATTATCTAACATTCTTACATAAACAAGGTTTCAACTTAAAAAAGCAGAAAATTACATTTTAAAAATATAGTCGGGAAAATGTTTAAGGGGTCAGTACTCACTTTCACATTCTGAAGGTGCGTTAGCACTGTATTTATTTGCGATTTCCGCTTTTTCCTGTTCAGTACTGGCTTGATTTATTGCCCTGGTGAAATAAAAAAATGTTACATAACGTATCAAATATTGTAATTCCATACAGTATTTAGGTCATTTACCTATCATGTTAACTATTTTAAGCGTAACTTACAAATTGAAATAAAATAGCACATTTATGCATGAAATGGCATTTCAAGTAATATTAGAGGACATGTATATGAAGTTCAGATGAAACAACAACATTTGAGCCGCATCACAACAAAACCAACATAATGGGTTTGCGACCAGCAGCCTGTAAACAAGTAAAGAAACTGGTAGCAAACAGCATGGATCCTGATCAGACTGCGCGGATGCGCAGGCTTGTCTGGATCCATGCTGGTTGCAAAACCCATTATGTTGGTTTTGTCGTGACGCGGCTCATTTTTTCTCTTGTTTTGAGTCAGTTTGATCATATGATTATATTAGTATGTTGCAAGCATTACCTGTATTTTTGTGTGCAGTTCTGCTGTAATCTACAGTTGTTTAATTCAAATGCTCATTATATGCTTTAAATTTCAAATGAAAAAAATGCATGTAAATATTAAGTGGATCAGATGCAAGAGTGTAAACAAAGGGGGGTCAGACATGTAAAAGAAATGACTTTTAACATTTCCAAGTTATTGCTGTAAAACATAAGAAGGAAAGTCAGGTTTTATTGACTTACAACATGTTTCATGGAGTAAAAATACTTTTCAAGTGTTGACAAGAAAGTCAATGAGTAATTTTTAGATACCCAGTGAAGAAACAAATTACTTTGAAGGCTGTTTTATGCATAGACTAAAAATCCTCAGTTTGATCAACTGGTTGAACTTAAAACTTATTGAATATAAAAATGGTGACTCACTCATACATTTCTGCTTGCCATTTCTGAATTGCTTCCTGGCAGATTTCTAGAAATAAAAATTATTGATAAAGACTAATGTTACTTTAATCCTAATAACCTGCTGCATTGTGTAATGGATCAGGCTTTTTTGCGCTTTTTTTTTGTTGAAAAGTCCATTTGTATTAAAAGAGGTTTCATTAACAAACTATACAAAAGTTGAGAGAGTCTGGTCATACTGTATGCACATGCAGGCCAGTCTAGCTCTATCACTGACGCAAAGGGTTAGTTAACACTTTCAGTTCTAGGAGGTGAAGTTTAATTAAAAATGTATCATACATACTGGTTATCATCGATAGAAACAATATCAATTTTTTCTGTTGATCAATAATAGATAAATACACATTTCAAAAAATAAAAATTTTGACTAATCAATTAAATGTCTAGAAATTAAAAAAATTCACCCTGAACAATGTACAGAAGCAGGTGTCCATGTCTAACTTTATGCTGTTGTTACGTAATGGAAATATTTCATAGCTATGATGACAAAAAATGGTCAGGAAAAAAAAACTTGCAATGAACATTTATAAACAAAACACTGAACAGAACATGTATTTTACTGAAATCATTTAAATTGGTATGAAAGTGAATCACAGACAATTATAGGTAATTATCGATATATCAATGTTTCATTGATATTTGTAACTATAGAAATTATCCCGGATGTAAAATAATACTTAAAATCCCCAAATACAGAACTTTTTACATGTTCATACCCACTTTTTTTCAATTATGTGGAAATCAAAATGCAAAAAGTAATAATTAAATGCCTTGCACAACCCAATATATCATACTGAAATATCATCCAATAAAGTAAATGTTATCATGTTTGACTTATAAATATATCTTCCATTTTACAGTTGCCATCAATATTGAAACAATCCATTTGAAATTTTTTGGACATTTTTTTTGAGAAGTCTTGATTGTAATGTCTGTTGTTTTTTAATGGGTTTTTTTATAATTGACAAGTGACCAAAATTAACAGCTGTAAGACATTAATATTATGTTGGAAAATTATTATTTTTTGATTAATGTAAAATAGTCTTTAGGAGACATATAAACATTTTTTTCTTTCTATTTTTGTATTATTTATCTATAAATTTTGCAATGTCTTTGTCTCACTGATTAAACTTACTTATTTTTGCCAATAATTCATCTTTTGTTATTTCTGTAGATTTACAAAGGCCAATCAAAAGAAAACCTGAAAAAGATAAAGGATAATAGATTAATTTGTATGATGAAGTCTTTAAACATCACAGATTTAGAATTATAGCATACTTTTTTACCATATGTTAAACTATAAATGATGTGCCCATCAAGTAAAAACATAAAAAGGTCAATTTCAAAACCTCCATCATAGATCTAAGGGTTTTGTAAAACTATCAAGGCACTGTAAGTCATTAATTAATGCACACAGAGCAAAATATTTTATTTTCATTATTTACAAATATAACAATATCTCCAGTTATCACAATGGTAAATATTTGATCTGCATCAATTTATAAATTATAGAATGTTGTTAAAATGACCTACATATGAATACATTCTTCCAATGTTGACAAACGAAGTCTGTCCCAGCCATTGTTTCTCTATTTTGCTGCAAAAAAAGATAAAGAAATTCCATAATGTTTTATGTTTTGAATACTTTTTTTATGATTCAAGTACAATACAACTAAAAACGACACTACATTATATCCTTGTGTATCCATGTAGCGTCATGCTAAAGATTTACAAATAAATTGGAACAAATAGAGCTCTACAGTTCTACTGCAAACCATGTGGGACATAATACAAATCTATAAAAGATCTAAGATAAGACAAGTAAAATGGTTTCCTGCGGGGAACATTTTTAATGATATAATGCAGGGTTTTCATTAAGAGGCGGCCGGCGGCCAATTTGGCCGCCTAGAACACGTTTTGGGCCGGCTAGAAATCCCGTAGATACCATAAATGAATACTTGGAAACTGATTTGGGGGCTCGAAAATTTACGATTCGCTCCTTTCGGTAATTTTATGCATTTCCGCTAATTGCGGTTCACTTCCTTGGCGGCACGTAAACATCCAATATGGCGACCAAAAAACGAAAAATTGATCGCAAAATCGACGATTTTTTTAATTTTCAACCGAAATCAAGTAAGTTTTCTAAAGAATTATATCGATTTGTTTTTTCATGTTAAAATATCTTTCGCAGTTTCAATTGTTTACCGTTGACAAATGTTTATTCTTTAGTAAAATTACATTTCGTAATGCGTTAACTCGGCCCTGTACAAACTCGGCCCCCTCTTATAACAACATATCAATAATAATACGACGGATCCTTGTATAAAATTACAAACAAAATTATTCCCTTAAAATTTAAGTGAAGACAACAAATATTATCATAGCATTATCTTTATCTTAAATTGCAAGTATAATGAACCTACATCAGCAAATGTCACAAGTATATTTTCTTAAAATATCTCAACTGCCCATTTCAACAGAATGAATAAAAGTTAATTCTAGCTGGCTAAGTCGTATTATTTTATAAATATTTTTCATTTTCTCATTATAATCTATATTTTATGACTTAGTCATGTTATTTTATAATTATAAATTCATCTTCTCATTATAATATAATCTAAATTTTTTACAAACAAAAATGAGTATTGCTATATATTTGGTTGTATTTGGGTATTTCGTGCTGCCACAAGAAAAAAATTGTAAAAACCTATCTGAAAAAAACAAACGTACGTTCAGCCTTTCTGTGCCAATTCACATGCTTTCATCAATAACTCAAGGCTGTGTTAGTTTGAGGGCCCAGTTGACACATTTTTTTTGTATTTTGTATATGTTGAATTTTATTTTTAAAAAAAATGTTAAACAGTTTTGTTCACAATTGTTGTTAACTTTATATATTTCCATGTTACAGTTCAATCTCAACACGCATTTATATGATAGCTGGATTAAAAAGGGTGAGTCAAAGTAGTATAATTTTCCCTGCGGTATAAAGTTTATTAGAGGATTATGAAAGTATACATTACAGAACAAACATTTTACATGCAAGGCGCCTTGTGAATAAAGCATTGAATCAACATAAATGATTGGTCATTGTATAGTCATGATATTTCAGAAATAAAAAAAAATCTGATTCATTCTGGTAGAAGTTTTGGCAACCAAAGTAGTGACAAACTGTGAATATGATAAGAATATGACTTAGTATTCCTGGTGATAAACTGCATTAACATTTTTAGACTGTGTAATTCTACATTAATATAAAAAAAATTAAAGTCTTGTCCGTCTGCTTGCAAAAAAGAATACGGTGTCCAACATTAAAATTTACAACTCAATTGCAGTCTGATTGTCTCTTTGAGTAAGCATAAATATACTATAATTATAAAACAAGAACAAAACTTTGATACGCATTTAACAGTTTTGATTAAAACATGAAAATAACAAACATTCAACCAAAAAAAATTTGTTTCCAAAATATATTTTAGATTCCACTCAAGATGGTCCGCCTAGCAACCAGCTGCACTCCCAGTCAGGAACAGTTACAGTCCTGCCCTCTGTTTGATGATATGGCCAAGAAAACCTCGCAGGTATCAACTGAGGCTAACTCGGGGATTTCCACCACCATATGCTTCAGTAAAGGTACTGGTATTTTAAAACATCAATAAACTGAATTTATGGTGTCCAGTATAAAAATTTAGGTAAAAAATTCTGAAAGTCTTGTCTGTCTGCTTTCAAAATAATACCAAACAAATTATTTTCTGCACTTGTTATACCAATAACACATAGTCATTATACTAAATGTAAGCTTATATGCTATATTAGTATTAAAAAATCTTTATATATTGCAGACAGTTTGATGAAATATGACAAACTGAACAAATACAAAATTCAACAATAAGTTCATTGTTTACAAAATATATTTTAGATTCCACTCAAGATGTTCCGCCTAGCAACCAGCTGCAGTCTAAGTCAGCAAACGTTACAGTTAATATAGTCAAGAAGTCTTCGCAGGTATCAAGTGTCCAAACTGAATCAACCACCATGTGTTTCAGTAAAGGTACTGATATTTTATAGGGATGCGGTAATAGAAACATCATAAAACTGAATTGTGTCCAACATTAAAATTTGGTTTATACAGCAATGAATGTAATGTTTCTTGCTCAAGGAAACAACGATTTGCCCCTGACAGGGTTAAAACCCATGCAGCTAGCGATCATTAGATTACCAGTCTGACGCGTTAACCACTCAGCCATGCCGCCACATTAAAATTTGCAACTCAATAGCCTGATTGTCTCTATCTTTGCATAGCTAGGTTGAATGCCTGCCTCTTGACTCTGTAATATGAAACTGTAAAATGATCACCATTTAACTTTAAAAAAAATCTGAAAATTGAATTTTTAATAGAAATTAGAATTTAAGTCGTTAGATGAGAAAACACTTTTAAACAGGACTATTTTACTGGAAGTGAATAACTGTACGGGTTTGTATTTCTAGCTAAAAGTTTTATTTTCAGCTATCCTATATACATTATAGAGGCTAGTTGTGCGGCAAAATAAAAAAGCAAAACCTAAAACATGAAAAATGAAATCTTGTGCATCTAGAAGAGGACTTAAAAATATGAGAGTTTTAACTTTTTAGCATTTGATGAGATACAACAGTGATTTTTCTCACTTAATTGGGAAGAGGCCTGAGCCTCTTGATTTTGGGAAAAATTATCGCTAAAATTTCTGATTTGGGAATTAAAAAGGCTGGTTTAAGTTAAGATTTTTGGGAAAACTGCATGATTTTAAAGAAAATTTCAATTGGGAAGAGGCCTTTTTTCGGAGTCTGTTATACAAGTAGGAAAATCACTGTACAAATTTAAAGCCTTTGTATGGGTGTTTTTTCTTAATGAAAATACTAATGATTATTTAAATTTTAAATGACATTGAAAAATAATTTCTATGATTGCCTTTTACTTATCATTTAAAAATACCACACAACTAGCCTCTGCTGTGTGTATAGGCAAGCTGTATGTTACTTAAGTCTGGCTCGAAGCTAGAAGTATGGACCAGTATGGTTAGCCATTTCCTATTTTATTATGACATATGCATCTTTATCAAAATACTTTTTTTTGTTTTGTTTCAGGCTTAACTTCTGAGGATGAACATGCTGATACAGAGCCATGGACACATGAAGAGGTCTGCATATTACTAACTCAGCTTTTTGGGTCAAAGACTGTGCATTCAGTTTACTTGTGTTCCTCAAAGTGTTGTGTAAGTTTAAGCAAAAGTGAAACAAGACGAATTGTCCCTAAAAGATTTAATCATCAAACTTTCATTACCAAGAAAAATTGGTGGTTAGTCTATGTTGAAGGTGAGGGTATGTACTGTACTGTTTGTAAGAAACATTGTATGAAGCACTCACAAAACAATGCCGAGGTCTTCTCTGCTGATCCAAGTGTTAGGTTTAAGCACTCCGCCATAATAACTCACAAAAACAGCAAAGTGCATAGAGCAGCCTTAGAAAACGAACTTGTACAAAAAGTGTCATGCTTTCACCACGAATTCACTAAAAAGTCTGAACATGATTATATGTATCTTCAGAGGGCATTTTCAGTGGCATATTTTTTGATGAAAAACTTTATAGCTAATGCAAAGTTTGAACCTCTGTTGAAGTTTATTGAAAACACTTGTGGTGACGACACTTTGAAGTATTTCCATCACAGCTCAGGAGGTTCAAGGCAAGAAATTTTTATGACAATTGGAGAGACTGTTATGTCAAATGTTGTAGATGATGTGAAAAATGCGGAGACTTTTGGAATTCTTACAGATGAAGTAGCAGACATTTCTGTCACTGAAAATCTAGTCACATTCATCCAGTATTACTCTAAATCTAGTAAACAAGTGGAAACAAAATTCTTGTCCTGTCAAAATATTTTAGAAAAATTTCAAAGTGCAAATGCCATGGCAATTAAATCACTGTTAGTCTCGGATATTTCAGAAAAGGGTCTAGATATCAAGAAACTCACTGGCTTTTCATCTGATGGAGCATCTGTGATGATGGGAAAGGACAATGGAGTTGCTGCTTTGCTCAGGTCAGAGAACCCATCAATGATAAACATACACTGTGTTTGTCATAGACTGGCACTTGCATGCACTGATTCAAATGAATCTTTGACATATATTAAAACTGTTGAAATTTTGCTTAGGCAACTGTGGCAATTCTTTGAGAACTCTCCAAAGCAAATGGCTGCATACATTAAAATGCAAACGGTTCTGAAGTCAATTTATCTTGACAAACAAGGAACCAAAACAGTGACAAGGAGACTTAAGAAAGCTTGCCGCACAAGATGGTTGAGCCTTGATGCTTCAGTCACTGCTGTGAAAAAGGACTTTGAGCCAATCTTGCAAACATTGGCCATGATCCAGGAAACCCAGGCTACTGCCCATGGTCTCTTGAGGAAAATGAAAAACCTCAAGTTTTACGGAACCATATACGTTCTCAGTGATATTCTTCCCATCTTGTCTGAACTTTCACGACACTTTCAGAAGGGCTCTTTAAACTTTGCTGCAATATTGCCAGCACTGAGCTTATGTAAAATGAAACTAAAAGAACTGAAAGAGACAAACAGCCCATTGCAGAACTTATCACAGGATATTGATTCGTTCACGGAAATGAGTTCTGAAATCAAGTTCAATCAAAAGGAGGCCAAGGAGCTTGAAAATCTTCTACACAGGTATATTGACACTTTAATTATCAATTTAGAAAAGAGATTCTCTGAAAACTCAGCAATTTTAGAAGCACTAAGCATTTTTGATCCTACTACTGTACCAAAATCAACAGAACCCGGTTTTAAGAATTATGGTGTGAATCATGTAACAGTTCTTGCTGACCACTTCTTCACAGAAGCCAGAGATAAAGACAAACTTCAAACTCAGTGGGCAGGCTTCAAGTTCCACATTTGTGACATTCTACTCCCAGGCATGCCAGAGGATCTAGGTAAAATGACTCCAACTGAATGGTTATTGTTACAACTTCTTAGAAGCTCTGGGTTAAGACATTTCAATCCCCAACTTGTTTATTTGGCAGAAGTTGCAGCATCTTTACCAGTAACAAATGCTTGGCCTGAAAGGGGTGCAAGTGTCCTCAAAATCATAAAAACCAAACAACGAAACAGACTTGGTGTTTCCATGATGGAGACTCTCATGCATGTTGGAATCAATGGACCCCCAGTTGAACAGAGCGAGGAAGTAATCAAGACATCTGTTTCTAACTGGCTGAAAACCAAGACTAGAAGAAAGGTTAAACCAATGAAGCAAACATTAATATCATCTGGATCACCTGCCAGCACTTCTATCATGGTCGAGGATGCAGCAGTTCAGACAGATCAAGTAATGGTGTCCAGGGACGAGATTAAGACAGTAATAAAAGAAATGATGCTTGAAGATTGTGCCTCCAACTCTGAAAGTGAAAGTGATGATGTTTGTCTATGAGAAGGGATTATGAAAATGATGGTGTCTGACATTGAAAAATGATGATGCTTGAATATGAAAAATTATGATGTTTGACTATGATAAATTATGATGATTGACTGATAATTTGAAGTGATGATGTTTGACTATTTAAAGTGATGATGTTTGACTATTTGAAGTGATGATGTTTGACTGTTTGAAGTGATGATGTTTGACTATTTGAAGTGATAATGTTTGACTGATTGAAGTGATGATGTTTGACTGTTTGAAGTGATAATGTTTGACTATTTGAAGTGATGATGTTTGACTATTTGAAGTGATAATGTTTGACTATTTGAAGTGATGATGTTTGACTATTTGAAGTGATATGACTATTTGAAGTGATGATGTTTGACTATTTGAAGTGATGATGTTTGACTATTTGAAGTGATAATGTTTGACTGTTTGAAGTGATAATGTTTGAGTATTTGAAGTGATGATGATTGACTATTTGAAGTGATGATGTTTGACTATTTGAAGTGATGATGATTGACTATTTGAAGTGATGATGTTTGACTATTTGAATTGATGATGTCGACTATTTGAATTGATGATGTTTGACTATGAAATTTGATGATGTTTCACTATGAAATTTGATGATGTGTGACTATGAAAAATGATAATGTTTTGTTTATTTAAATTGATGATGTCTTGCTGTGAAATTTGATGATGTTTTACTATGAAATTTGATGATTTTTGACTATGAAATTTGATGATGTTTAACTATGACATTTGATTAAGTTTGACTATGAAAATTGATGATGTTTTGTTAAATTGATAATGTTTTCCTATGAAATTTGATGAAGTTTGGCTATGAAATTGGATATGTTTTACTATGTAAAATGATGATGTTTTACTATGAAAATTGATAATGTTTTGCTTTGAAAATTGATGATACTTTGCTTTAAAGATTTATGATGAAAAATTATGATGCTTTACTATTTGAAGTGATGATGCTTTACTATTTGAAGTGATGATGCTTTACTATTTGAAGTGATGATGTTTGACTATGAAATTTGATGATATTTAACAATATGAAGTTTGAAATGATGATGCTTGACTTTGAACAATGTTAAAATGTGATCATGTGAGAGTATGTAAAATGATGATTGTTGGCTATGAAAAGTGTTTATGTTTGGCTTTGAAAATTGATGATGTTGATTATAAATAATGATGATCAAGTATATCTTGGCTTGTTGTTTATTAACTTTCTACAGTTATAATTTGCAAATAGGTGTGACGGTTTAGCTCAAATGAAAAAAATTATTGTTAAACGCTGTGTATCAAAAGTGAGTGACACAACTAACAATTATGAAGTGCATATTTCAGTGCACCTGTTTCAAGCTGTTCCAGTAGTTTCCATAGTGTTTTTTTTCAAAAAATGATGCTAAACCAGAGTGGCTAAAGTAGCCCTGAAAGTGCTCAGAATGCAGGATTTTGCTTCCTGGATTTCAAAATTTTCCGGGGGGGCATGCCCCCGGACCCCCCTATCAGGCCTCCTTCGATCACATTCTGGCCTCTTACACAAAATCTTAATGAAAACCCTGATAATGATATTTCATTTAACTATGGGGGGAGGATAAATAAACGTTTGTATCAGGAATATAGTTGACAATAATCGATCAATATAGAGGAAGTTCTTTGGAAACTGGTGACCGTTGAAGACCAGAGAAGGCCGAACATACAAGTTTACGCTGAAAATATCTCTATTTATTATGGCAGATGCCACTACAAGTATTTTAATTATGTAGATTTTAAGTATAAACAATTTAATGTTTGTAAAATTTGAAATAGATATTATAGAAACATTGAAATTTTCAAACAAATCATTCAAGTTTTTCCACCTTAAACGGTAAAATAGTTATATAAAATTAGAAATGCAACGTAATATTTTTTTGTTCTTAATTAGGTGTAATTCGGACTATGACCCTAGAGATAAATCCGTAACGTACCGGTACACGGTATTTAGCTAGGTTTTCGAAAAGGTCAATTAACCAATCATATACGGTTTATGGATCAAATGCTCCTCCATGTACCCAAAACAGGTCACGTGCTCCTCCATGCCTCAAAAGTTAAACGCGTACCAATACCCTGCGGTCTCCAGACCGCAGGGAATGAGCAACATGTGATGACGTAATCAGAACATTAACTAAGCATGGTGGGATTGTACAAAAATCATCAACTATTTGTATTCTGCATTTTTTTTTTTTTTTTTTTTTTGGCAAGGTGGGGGGGGGGGGTTGGTGGGGATTACCAACACATATAGGTCATATGGGTCTCAGGCCTTGACAAATCCAAAAATTAATCAAACTCGCACAACAGGGCGAGTAAGATTCTCCAGATCCAAATGATTTTTCTCTGAATATTCAACATAAATGAATATATTCGGTAAATTATCAAACAGACACCATTTCAATCGTTATACTGTCAACCAAAAACCGGAAACTGACCTTATGATTTAAAGTATAAAACTTTACCAATGCTAAGATGAATTGATTCCGTAACGCCAGCAACATTCGACAATGTTTTTTACATACTCATTCAGTAATATTTTATACTTAGCCATGAGGTCGATATTTAATTGGAATGGAATATGTATTCAGGCTATGCTGAAGATTATTTGATAAAAGAACAAGACCACCGCTAGGCGGAGCATTATATGCCCGAAAGTGTTTTTTTTTCTTTACTAAGGATGAACAGCATGCCCATTCACGCACTACAGTGCGTAATTCACGCACAAAATTCTAGATGCACGCATAAAAATTGTAAGCAGGGGGTACATGCACGCAAAGTAAAATCGTCAGAATGAATGTTTGGAATAGCCTATGTACGCTTAATTTTGCCTGGGGACGCATCAAACGACCACAAATACACAAATACGTCAGCGCGTGTCAGTCTATAGGTAGGCGGTCCTATGCACATCGACCCGTGAAGCATTTAGCCAATCAGCGATAACACTTTCAATCATTATCACGCAATAGAGATCAGACTAATGTATACACTCGCTGTACATGTAATTACCAGATATAACACGAGGTGATAATTTAACATCTTTGATCAACAGTTGATTGAAAATAAGCAAATTTTACCGACAAAAGGATAAGAATATCGACTATTTACGCCGCAAGTTTAAAGACTGTTTTCTCAAATTACAAATGTGTGTAATTTTGAATTATTCTCGAAATTTTCGGCACTTTCTAAGCAAAATTTTGCTTTCGTTTCATTCTTGCAAAAACGTTCTATAAGAGTTTAAATGATTTAACATATTGTGCCGAAATGCCAGGACAACTAACCAAAATACACGTACGCTTTTCTTTGATCCGAAAATTGATCCCGAACATCGGCGATTTCACGTTCGCCGGAATTTCAGAAACCCTAAAAATTTGCAAAAATTCTCAGTTTCCAAGCCAAACATGAGAATGAATTGTTCCTTTATTATTAAATCAGCATTAAATCTTTAAATATCGATCTTCAATTTGCCCCCATTTTGAAGATATTTGCTAAAATAATTGTCGATCGAATGATTCTCTAACACACTGTGTGAAGCTGTACACGATTTTCCTATTCATTCCGCTAAACCCTGCCTATATACATTTACGTTTTTTTTTTACAAATATAAACTTTTTGTCTATAGAGTGGACTTATTTAACCAGAATAAAATTTGATTTGGTATAAAAGTGAAAAAAAAAAAAAAAAAAAAATTTCCAACTTATTACTTAAAACCAATAATCATTATTTAGCACATATACCTCGTTATTTATAATTTATTACTTATTACTAATTACCTATTATCTATAACTTATTATCTGCCAGTGGCGGGAAATAATGAACACATGGTGCAAAATAGATGTCAAAAAGTACACTTCTGTGAAAAGTTACATTGTTACGCAGCACAAGACAAAAACCAGTAACAGAGGGTATGTAATGTTGTTTTTTTTTTTAAATCAAATCCTATATGTGCTGGTGTATCTTAAATGTTACATGTTACCATATATAGAGCAGTAAGATCACTGCTGGTACTATAGAACTTTTGGTCTTACATTGTATATACTTGAGAAATAACATCGGTCTGAGCGGTGTTTTTCGGTTATTAAACACCAAATTAACCAGGAAGGCCGTTTTCCTTAGTGGTAACATTTTGCATCAAAACGACAAATAGGTGTTTAATAGCCGATAAAGACCGCTCAGATCGATGTTATTTTGTTTCTAACATGACCACAAAGAGCAAAGTAATGGAGATTGTTGAGGCTTTTTTTTCAAGCGGATATTATTTCCGCTGCCAATTTTCACATTTGGCTGTTCTATTCAACATCCTCCTGACACTATGGTAATTAACAAACAAAAAATAATGAAGAATGCATTTTTATTTCAAGTATCGTACGTTTCTGTCTTATTTAAGTATTTTTTACATCGGAGATAGATAAATCAATTTTATCCCAATTTCATCACCAACTCATACAACTTCTATATGATGTCATTCTGGCGCCTTCATGCATGCCAGAAATAACGTCATCAGCTGGTTCTAAATAATGAATTTATAACATCAGTTGAATAAAGGTAATAATAAAACTCAAAACTTGGCGCAAGTATCGATCCCTTTGTGCTACTTATGCATGTTACACAATGGAAAGGGAAAATATCAATAAAAAGCATAATTAATGTAGTTATGTTTATCAATCTTTTTTTTGTAAATTGCAGTTCAGATGGAAATGCTTTGGAGTGCATGGGTTGTACTGTTCTCAACAATTCTGATAAGCCATGCAGGAGCTGTTGTACCTCATAAAACACCACCAGTTAATCAAAATAAACAGTCTAGACTAAACTTGGTGAAAGAATATTTCAGAGATGGTTTTAAGTACTTTGAAATCGTTCTTCTTTTATTTTCTCAACACAATATTAAAATCAGCATACGGCACTTGAAGCGAATATTGAAGGCGAATAATTTATGCCGCCGAGGAGATGTTCTTACCGCAAAAGATGACGTTATTAAAGATTTGATAGAGAAAGAACTTCAGTATAGTGGAAATTGTATCGACTATAGAAGTATGTGGCGTCGTTTAATGTACGACTATAAATTAAAAGTTAAGAGGCATGATGTAATGCGGTTAATGATATAAATAGATCCTGAAGGGGTACGCTTGAGAAAGGCCGACAGGCTAATTAGAAGGAAATATTGTGCACAAGGCCCAAATTATATTTGGCACGTTGACGGATACGACAAACTTAAACAATTTGGTTTGTGTATTCATGCAGCAATAGACGGGTATAGTCGTAGAATTATCTGGTTAGAAGTTGGGGCAAGTAATAACGATCCAAAATGCATCGCTGATTATTATATTGAATCGATTAAGACTTTAAAACTTGTCCCTCGTATTGTAAGAGCTGACTGTGGCACTGAAAACACACACATCAGTTTTCTACAACCCTTACTTCGACGGAACCACAATGATTCAATGTCTGGAACCAAGAGCTTTATGTTTGGGAGAAGTACCTCGAACCAACGAATCGAAGCCTGGTGGAGCTACCTGCGACGTCAAGGAATACACTGGTGGATAAATAAACTGAAAGATTTGCAAGATACTGGCAAATTTATTGCACTTAATCCGATACATATAGAGTGTGTCCGTTTTTGCCTTATTGATGTTCTGCAAGCAGAACTAGACCGTATTGCAAAACACTGGAATTTACACAATATCCGACCTCAGAAAAGTGTAAACGAACTTCCTTCTGGTAAGCCAGATATATTATTTTACGTTACAGAATTATTTGGCGGATACGAAATGGGGAAAAGTGTTGACGATATTGAACTAAATCTTTGCCAAGAAATGTATGCTACCACCAAACAAAAAGAGAGAGCAGAATTCCATGAACTGGCATACCTTCTTAACCCAAATCTACAGATCCCGTGTAATGCAAATGATGGTTTAAAGTTATATGAAGAATTGATATGCCTTTACGATCAAGAATGTGACTAGCATATGCGCATGAACAGTAGCATACTGAACATATACATATATATACGAATGATTGCATAAATGTCTTTTGATAATTTAAAATAAAGTTGTGATATATTCAATAACTTGAGTATTAAATGGACACAATTTTTTTGCTTAACATTACTTCTATACAGCCTCTTAAATACTATAATTTTCACTTTAGTCTTTATTTGCATTATAAAGGTTTGCTTTACTGACAATTGAGATATATAAGAATACACTTTTGTATGGTACTTGTGTTATTTAATATCTAATTTACGAAGTATTCTTTTGTATTGTAAGTGTTTCTTTGTTCGACAACTACCGAAAATGAACAATTGTCTGTAGACACTGGAATCTATGTAACCCAAATTCGAAGGGTCCTTAAAGCGACTAGCTAACATATTTACGGAATTTATCTCAAAAGATAATATTGCATCATTTTCATAAATGTATTTTTCACACACCCGTGCCGATTTTGAGACTCCGTAAAAATGCTATTGCGCGGCCGTGCATATATTTTGACGTGACGTTATTAGCGTTATACAAATATAATGTAAAGACGCGCTAAATGTTAGCGTTATACTATAGGTGCGTCAATGGAAAATTACTCTTATTTCAATTTTTAAAAACGGTATTTATATTGTGTATGTGATAAATAGAATATTAAATTCGTGTAAGTTCATTACTGAATTTATTGCACTCGTTGAATAAAATAATATTATGTTCGCCAGAGGCTCGCATAATATAATTTTATTCAACGAGTGCATTAAATTCAGTATTGAACTTACACTCATTCAATATCCTCTACATGTATATACAACTAAACCATTGATACATGTCTTGATTCAGCAAGATTATTTAACCGAGTTTCAATCTTTTATTAGTATTAAATTTTTAGCTCGTCTATTCAAAGTATATGGACAGCTGTCCAATTCAGCCAGGCGTCCGCGTCCAGATTTCAGATTAAAGATTTTGTGCAGTTAAATATTTTTTTCTATAACTTTTTCTTGAGTTATCAACTTCAAACATACGTTCCATATCATCAACCACATTTTATGTGTTAAGGTTCATAACTCTAAATGCAATATTTTCAGAATTATCTCCCCTTGAACATAGCATTTTCCTAGAAAATATTATGTTTTACTGTAACTTATCAGGAATAAAATTCTTTGATAAATTTTAGACACCCTTCACCCAAGGAACAATCATGGCAAGTTGCGTTGAAATTGGACTTGTGGGTTTTAACAAAAGGATTTTTTAAGTTCACTATAACATATGCACGCACAAACATGAATCGCAAAATATGGCAGTGGCATAAAGAATTATAAATTTTAATTTTCCAGGATTTGGACCAGGGTCTCTAGTCTGTTTATAAACGAGTAATGCTTCAATTTGTACAAGACTCAGATGTATGATTTTATTGGTGACGCCGGTGAGCGGCGTCGTCTCTTATGAAATGCTTTTTATTTTGGCCTATGGAAGGAGCTGTTATCATTAGCAGTTAATGTCATGTTGTGTTAATTAGTTTTATTTTGATCCGTAAAAATCAAGTAAAATAATATGTTGTTATATTTGTATTTAATAACATTATGTAAAAAGCATGTGCATTGTGATATTATTTTCACGAAATTGCAGCTTGTCCCTTAGCTTTATTGGCAATACTAAAACCCGAATTTCGAATATCGTTGTGGTCTACATTGATGCTGTATTCTTTTTCATTCATTTATATATTTACAAAATATTCCTACAAGAAGAACGTTCACCTGTAAATGAGTATTAAGATTGGTATTGGAACTGTTGTAAACGATTATCCTATTGATTTTATCCATATTACGTTTATCTATTGCACAGAATGATTGTTTTTACAAAGTGTACCAGTATCCGGATGTTGAAAGCTATCCGATTTTCTGCAATTACTGCTGTCACATGGCCATCTAACTTTTTATGAATACTTTACCATTACTTTGCATGGCTTAATAAACCTGATCCTGCAACATTTCATAATTTTGCTGTTTAGGATGTTCTTTTGGTTTCAGGTTTTCTCTATTTTAAGGGGAAGTAACTCATGTTTACAAAATTATTTATTCCTTTCTGTCTATCTTAATTTTTACTTACTAATTTTGTAGTATAAAATTTACCAGTTGTAAACTTGTTAAGTGGATATAAAAATGTATAAAAATATGTGCATTTACATGTCTCATCGTTCAATTCATACTTTCATTGCATACAACAAATGAAATCCCTAATTGATGCTTGTCACAAGATGCTCTGAAAAAAAATTCTTAAAACACTGTCTCTGTTGAATATTTGGAAAGTCCAACTTTCCAAGAGAACATTTGCAATGGTCGTTTCTAATGTTATGGTAAGAGGGCAATATCCTTTGTTCATATTGTATCAAAAGACCCAATTCAGTTAGTAGAGAAAATGTATCTGTCTCTACTCCCCTAAAGATATTAATTAATAACAGTCACTGTCTACAGTCTACACTGTGCTGGCAACAGCATCTTGCAAGATCCATGCAGAAGAAATCGGCGAGATAACCGGACTTGTAGATTAGGTATAAGTATGCAGGCGAATCCAGAATGAGTTGTCGTAAATGCCAGAGATTTGGCTTGTACATGTGATAAGGATTACTTTAAAATATCAAAATAAGACAAAAATATTGCGCTAATTTTCACTTACTTATTTTAATTATTAAATTTTGTCATACTTTTTACTTATAAGCTTAAGCGTTAGATAGTGCCTCTAAAGCGCATTCGTAACAAAGCACAAAAAATCGATAGTTAAAATTTTATTAAGCTTTTGAAATGTAACCGACAACTTTTCCTACATAAAAACTACAATATATAATTCACTTTAATACGGAAAACAAGAACACAAAAGAAAGGCAGCGTTCAATGAACACAACCCCACACGACCAAGCAAAACATAATCTGCAATCTATTCAAAACAATTAAACATTAAAAGTCGAGATCCCACTACCATAAAATGACTTCAGTAAATGGCGAAAGTTCTTTCAGCTTTTCTTATATTTCACTCGTAAGGGATGATTTAGTGCAATAATGGGAATAAATATTTTAATGAAATGTAGTTACAATTTCTCTTAAGAAATGACAATAAATATTTGTAGAAATTTATAATACCTTTATTTAACACAAGGTTTTTAACAAAACGAGTATTGTATATAAACATGAGTGTATAATTTCTGTAAGCTCAAAAGCTAATTCTTAAAGGAACTCAACTGAGATTTTTTGATATACTGAAATTGATTTTTTTTTTGTATTTAAAAGGACTTTAGCATGTTATATTGAAAATAATATGAAATATTGTCAGGCATCCTATAATAAGATGATTCAAGTCGTCAGTTTCACTCCCATGAATAATATTCGGTCCATGAATGAAGCAAACAACTTGATTTGGATCAAAATTGACTTGTGGGAAATAGTAAACATTTTCCTTGTCTACCAAATATTCTTTATTGTCTTTCTGTACACTAATTACTGAATAGCCATCATTGAAAACATTGTATTCTTCAAGATCATCTTTTGCCAAAGACATAGCAGTTCTGTATGATTTAATGAAAATGGAACTTCCTGTATCAGCATATACAGATTGTGTTTTTTTCTCATATGATATTTCCAGCAACCCAACTTTAATGTTGTTTACAAGAAAACACGGACTTTCTTCTTTTGTTTTTAAACATTTATCTGTATCCGATTCTGATTTGATTTTCGTTCTTAAGTATAAATGACACTGAGATGGGTACAGTCCATAAGCTTTAACATACTCTGTGAAGCAACAGGGCAGACCATTTCTGTCTGTGAAGCCTGAAATTTCTTGTCCAGAAGCTGTCACAAGGGTAACAGCCATTTCCTCTAATAAACCAAACTTGCTTTTGCCATCCTTAAAGTAAAATGCTTTCCCTTCTACGAGTATTTCATCTACTGTTACTTCTTCATCAGAATTCTTGTATATATATCGTTTACCACCTCCATTCCTTTGCATAACAATTCTGTATTTCCCTTTGCTAAAATGTTGCCAACCTATGGGCACTTTGTATTCTGACCTCCTTCCACGCCCACGACCACTTCTAGTATAAGGACTCGTGTGCTAAAAACAGAATAATATTTAGTTTATAAATTAAAGAAGCCATGTAAATATAATTTATCATTACTTATTTCTATACTTTTATTTGTTGTTACTAAATTGTTATTTGTAAGGAGTTATAGATCTTTTATAGACTTGGTTAATTGCAACAATGGCAAAAAGGAGAACAAAGAAATTATTCTAAAAATGTTATTTTAAGTCATGTTTTCAGTGTGTTTATATTAAATTGAATTGTTCATTACTGCTTCATAAAACAAGAGCTGTCCGTAAGACAGCGCGCTCGACTTTTTTATTGCTTGCCAATAAAAAAAGTTTTTGCAGTAAAAGGCAATACAAGAATCTCTGTATTTTTAAAGTGAACAATGGCCATGAGCATTAAGATATTTAGTGAAGAATTATTTTACTGAATTGTGTGATACCCTTGAACACTGCAGCAAAGTTTGAAATGTTTAAGTCAAAAGAGGGCTGGTAAGAAAGAAAAAAAAACTGAGTTGAGCCTTAAATAAATTTAATAGTATTAAACCCACTTTGAGAGAATAAGGTATTTTTACGTCACTCAGAACACCTTGGTAAATGACATAATAACATAATTTTTCAAGAAATCTATGCCAAGGAAGCAGTATATTTTTGTACAATCAGCATAAAATAAAATAAAAGGCCTTAATTTTTAAAACAAATCCTTGACAGAGTTACCTTCTCTTGCGTACAGATGGGGGTAATGATGTGAAATAGCATTAAAAGTTTCAAAGCAATATCTCAAAGGGTTAAGGCAATAAGTGGATTTTACCCATATTCAATGTATTTTCTAAGTCAAAAAGGGGCATAATTCTGTCAAAAACCTTGACAGAGTTATGTCCTCTTGTCTGTTGATGAAGGTCGTGATGGTAAACAAGTATGGTCAGTTTCAAAGCAATACCTCCAATGGTTTTGAAATAAAGTGAGGTGGTACAAAAAACTTAACCAAGCTCAATACACTTTCTAAGTCAAAAAAGGGCCATAATTCTGTCAAAAACCTTGACAGAGTTATGTACTCTTGTCTGTAGATGGAGGTTATGATGGTGAACAAGTATGGTAAGTTTCAAAGCCATACTTGTAATACTTCTGAAATAAAGTGGGGTGGTACGAAAAACTTAACCAAGGTGTGACGCCAACGCCGACGCCGACGCCGGGGCGAGTAGGATAGCTCCCCTTTTCATAGAAAAGTCGAGCTAAAAACTATTATATAGTTGTAGCTATCATTACTTGGTCTTACTTGTTTTATCTTCATTAATATCATTTAATATAAGTTCTTAATAGACTGCATACATCACATGACCAAAGTAAATATATGTTTGTCCATATAACAAACGACAACCATAAATACCAATCTTGATCAAATTGATTATGTTGAAATCAAGATAAATTCAATATTTGCTGTCACAAAACTGGGAGGTGACCCTGACCTATATTCTTTCCAAGTTTCCAGGTCTTAGAAAAGTAATGATGCAACAAGAAAATCATGCATGAAATTATAATATTATCACAAAAATTAACTGAGGGTGATAAACCTTTTCTGACTTTTTTCAAATTTGTATATGTTACAAAGACCTGCAGAATTGAACAAATAACCTTAAAGGTAAATGTTATCTGAAGGTGAAGGTCTTGCTCAAATTGCTGAACATATCAGTTTGTCAAAGGTACTCAATTATGATTAGCATCTGTCAAGTATTTTCATAGTTCTGAAAATTTGCGCAATTCAATGAATTGGCCTTGATGCCCAAATTCCTATATGAATCATTCATTATGTGCAATTTGTCAACAGTGTTGTTTAGTCTCAGAATGATAAATAATAATTCAAATAAGAACAATGCAGCATTACATTTAGCAAAATTCAAGAATTAACATCTAAAGTTGAAGGCCATATAAATGTCAGGATCAAGTTCAGATTGATCAAACTATAGGTACTTTTTAAATGGGTGTTAAGCATGAACATATCAAACACTTTACAGACATGTTTTGGTCAATTTTAGCAAATTCAATTTCGTGATCAATTACATCAAGTCTGTTTTCTTGTAAACGTCAAGTTCAGTTGGAATATGATAATGGCATCGAGCATTGTTATAACAATAGTTTTGCCATTAATTGCAAAGTTCAGGCAATATTTCACAAGTGGACCTAAAATATAAATCAATGTCAAATTTAGTTTGGGATACTGGAAGCTCTTTTCCTAAGAGTTATTGTTTTAAGTAAGAAGACAATCAAATCATTAATAACAAATAATGAATATGTAAAGTAATAAATTCTATTACTTAAAGTTTTAAAAGAGCATAATTCTAGTCCAAACAAGCAATTATCATAGTATTGCAAGCAATCCATAAGTCCCCTTCCGATTAGAACCCCAGCAACATTCTGATGGGCCATTGGCCATTCAATTTTACCAGTGAATGAACTAAAATCTTTTCAGTTCTAAGTTTGTCTATATCACAGTAATATGTTAAGTTTCCCTGCCTTAGTAAGTAAATTATATTTATACAACCTTGTCATATTATTATGATGTGGGATTTTAAAGTAAATCCTATTAGGAATGAAGAAGTTGGAGTAAAAAATACCAATTTCTCGAAAAAAATCTAAGTTCAAGGGGGACATAATTCTGAAAATAGTCATGCTAGAGTATTTAACCTTCTCAAAAATGTTGAGTGATAATAAGACACATATAAAAATATTATATGAAGTTTGAAGTAGATACATTAGGAAATAAAGAAGTTATTTAAAAAAGACAACATTATTTTTCATAAAAATTCTAAGTTCAAGGGAGGTAATACTGATAATTTTTGTGCTAGAGTTGTAAACCTTGTCGCATATGATGTGGATGATGACAAGAAACTTATATTTAAAGTTTGAAGTAAACACCTTAAGAAATAAAGAACTTATGGTGAAAAAGCTGAAAAATCTAAATCAGAAATCTTGAAATTCAGGCTATTTGTTGCCATAGCAACCAGAATTTTCAACATAGGAACAAAAGGAAAAGACGTGCATAATTTCCATACTGCCATCTATCCATATATTAAGTTTCATAAAAATATTTTTAGTATTTTTTGCGTTGTCGCGGGATCCAGTTTTGTGGACGGACTGACGGACTAACAGACAGACAGACGGACGGAGGGTAAACCTTAAGTCCCCTCCGGTTAAACCGGTAGGGAACTAATTAAGACCTATTACTTAAGACCTATTACTTAAAATTTATTACTTAAGACTTATTACTTAAGACCTATTACTTAAGACTTATTACTTAAGACTTATTACTTAAGATTTATTACTTAAGATTTATTACTTAAGACTTATTACTTAAGATTTATTACCTATCATTAAAGGTGTATAAATGTATATCCATATTGGCTGTGTAACCTAGTTTTTCTAGTAACCTAGTGTAACCATATTTGACACTGCCCTAGAAATCATCAGCACAACCTTTCACACCAATTTCCAGGATATTTTGACTGAAACAGTAGTCTCTATAGTGTTTTTCCATATTGGAAACCTATGGCCATCCAGGCTGGGGCCAATTTTGACAATTTTAAAATAATTGGTGACACTAAACCTCTTTAAAAAGCATATTCATTTCCCAAATGAACTAACTTTTGCAAATAATACATAAATAACAAATTCTGAGAATTTTACTTTCCATCATACCTTTGAAAGAGATTGCCTTTCAGTTATTTTAGTGGCCATTATGCTTTGTACTAGCTGCTGTAACTTCTGTTTCCGCTTTGTACGATCCTGCAAAGCATAACAAATACTTTACTAACTATTTCTTATCTTTAAAGGTGATTCTTTACCTTGTCTGATACTAAATAAGGTTTATACACTGCCACCCTGCTATAAAATTAGCCACATTTTAATGCCAAGTCCATTATAATGCTCAAAGAACAAACTTGGTAAAGATTTACAATGTGATCTTTGTGTTGACATATCATTTATCAATCTAACATTTTATTCTGAATATATACACACTATTTTTTGCAAAAAACAATACTTATGGTACTTTTCCTTATTCATACATCCAACATCAAGTATCATTTCAATGTGTTCTTTGTATGTATGCAGTCTTTTCAACTTTTAATCTTCAAACTTTCTATTAAGCTATCACTCAGAATAAGTGTAGACATATTATCATCTGCTCTGCTATATACGCCCGAAGAAAACGGTATTTAGCTAGGTTTTCGAAAAGGTCCAATCCAATACACTTAAAAACTTTCTCAAGGCTTTACTTAACAGAATGGGATGCTTTAATTATAATCAGGAACCTAGATCAAATGATATATGAAATAAAGGTCGCTGTTTAATTGCCACAGATAGTCAGAATACTAGATCTAAAATGGCCCTGTACCTACTGCTGTAATCGGGACATTTCTTTTTTCAACAAAATTGAGAACAAGAAAAATTGTTTCCTACTTAACGTCCACAAAAAGGTTTCAATAAAGTAGAAATTATTCTAAACAGCGTGCAGTTACATTTAATTATTGACTTATTAATGTATCATACATACCATCTGTAACTGATCCTCAACTTCACCCTTTTCAGTCATCGCCTCAATTAAAACATCTTATTTCTCCCGCCAAATATAGCGCGGTTCAGATAATATGTAAATAATAAGTCATAATCTTTAAATAATAAGTTATAAGTTATAGATAATAGGTAATAAGTAATAAATTTTAAGTACTAAATTTTAAATAATAAATGTCCCTCCAGGGCTTCCGTACTTATGTTCATCTTTTAGTAAAATATTTTAATCAAATAAATTCATTATATCTATGAAATTATTATGTCTCAATTCCAATAAAGGAATGAATAAGCTATGTATGGGAACAAGAGAAGTTGGTCATTAATAAAAATGCCAGGTTTTTTTAATGTCACTATATACTTATATTGTAGCAATCTTTAGTTTAGTGTGTAGAATAATTTTATACATATCTTCTTTGTTTGAAGTCAAAACATGTTTATTTCATATTTACAAATAGACTGTGTAGCAATTTTCTAATTTCAAATTTGAGCATAGTATGTCTGTAAACTAGAATGCCTCACTGTCAACTATTACCCTCATGGTCACCAGTATGCTTTCTCATTCATTTTAATGAAAATTATTGGGTAAACCAAAGCTGGCTTTAATTTAAAGATTTGTTATAATACAGTGAGTCACTTAAGTAACAGCAAGAAGATAAATAACCGATGATCGATTATTGAACTTTATATTCGATCATCGCTAATCGGTCCTATAAACGATCAATTTTCGATTATACTCGATCATCGTTAAATCCCTACTGGAAACTGTTTTTAGTTTTGAGGTAATAGCTACCTTGAACTTTGACCGTGTGACCCCAAAATCAATAGGGGTGTTGCACCCTATATGGACAATCATCCTATGAAGTTTGAATATTGTGGGACAAATAGACCTTAAGTTATGCTCTGGAAACTGTTTTCAGTTTTAAAGTAATAGTGACTTTGACCTTTGACCTTGTGACCCCAAAATCCATAGGGGTCTTCTACTGAATGTAGACAATCATCCTATGAAGTTTGAACACTGTCGGCCTAATGGAACTTAAGTTATGCTCCGGAAACTGTTTTCAGTTTTAAGGTCATAGTGACCTTGACCTTTGACCTTGTGACCCCAAAATCAATAGGGGTCTTCTACCCAATATGGACAATCATCCTATGAAGTTTGAACACTGTCGGCCAAATGGACCTTAAGTTATGCTCCGGAAACTGTTTTCAGTTTTAAGGTCATAGTGACCTTGACCTTTGACCTTGTGACCTCAAAATCAATAGGGGTCTTCTACCCAATATGGACAATCATCCTATGAAGTTTGAACACTTTGGGCCAAATGGAACTTAAGTTATGCTCCGGAAACTGTTTTCAGTTCATAGTGACCTTGACCTTTGACCTCGTGACCCCAAAATCAATAGGGGTCTTCTACCCAATATGGACACTCATCCTATGAAGTTTGAATGTTGTGGGCCAAATGAAACTTAAGATATGCTCCGGAAACCAAATTGCTAACGGACGGACGGACAGACGGACGGACGGACGGACGCCAGGGGGTATAACATAATATGCCCGAAATTCTTTCGGGCATATAATAAAAGTATTATAAACAATGATTATAAAGGGTTAGAATTTAGCAAGATTTTCTACTTGCAGATTTTGCAAGTGATCAAATGTTTAACTGGCAATATGTGGTAGTCAACTGGCATTTCCATGATCACGTATCTTATTATTATTATTATTATTGTTATAATAATACACAATGACAATGTATTTTGAACATCTGGTATGACAAAAGATAATAAACTTGAATGTCTATTGAATATCAGAAACATCTTTATTACTGGTTAACACAGATGTCTTCTTGTAACGAAACAAAAACATTTCAACACATTAATTTATAAATGATAAACAATTGTTTAGAGATCAGAATAGATATACCAGAGGAACACCCACTGGTGACAACGTGCAGTTATAAACATGTTCATGTTATGTAATTTCTTAGGACCTTCATTAATTTTCGCATATTTTGTACTTGATTACACCAACAGCCTGAAAACTAAATAAATATTTCAGCTTAAAAGTAAACACTTTACAGAGGAGTGCTACGCATTTACAATGGACCCCAGTGATTTTTCTCACTAAATTGGGAAGAGGCCTTAGCCTCTTGATTTTGAGAAAAAATATCGCTAAAACAGACTTCCCGAAAGTTGAAAAAAACTGTCAGACATTCGGTCTGACAAACCATGAAAATCTGTCGGACCGAAACAAAATCTGTCAGACCAAATAAAATTGATCAAAATCAAAGAAAACTTGTGTTTGTATTTCTGAGACACTTTTTGTTTTTTATTTTTTCGCCGTAAAAATCGGCACAATCCGTACAGCGCATTTTCATCTCCTCCCTGTCATACACCAATGATTCATGGTTCTGCTTCCATTTTTCATTAAATTTCGTCTCGGGTCTATTCTTTTCATCCTTTTATTGCTGTTCTGCGCACTCTTCTGACGTAGATTTTCGGTTTTTCCCAGGTTTGGCACCTTTAGCGACGCCATTTTGTATACATGCGGCTTGGATAAAAGCCGGACAGTCGGACCGATCCGGAATAAAAAATTGTCGGACCTGATCAAAATTTATCGGACATGTCCGTCGGACCGACGTATTTCGGGAAGTCTGTAAAACTGCTGATTTGGGAAGTAAAAAAGCTGGTTTAAGTTCAGATTTTGGGAAAACTGCATGATTTTAAAGAAAATTTCAATTGGGAAGAGGCCTTTTTTTGGAGTCTGTTATATAAGTAGGAAAATCACTGGACCCTGATTACATCTTGGATGCTCTAACCAATAGTGTTTGGCTGTTATAAATAGTCCATCAAAATATAATCACAGAAAAAATAAATAGAGCAACCAAAAATTGGTTTTTAAGTTTTTTAAGGTAAACTTCATCAATTACTGCATCTGACACAGTCAACATCATCAGTTTCTGCAGTGGGCAGTTGCCAAACATCATCATCAGCCCAGAAGATAACAATTATGTAAACGTCCAAAAGGAACAGTCACTTGCAAATAAATGCCAGCTAGAGTAATTTTTACTGGCATTATTAGATTTTAACTGGCATTTTGCCAGTATGCCAGCTTAAATTCGAACCCTGATTATAGAACAATATGTAATTGAATAAAGCCAATTATACCAATATAGACCGGTAATTAGTAAATTTGCTTTTTTGTTTGATTTTTACAAATTTTGTCCTTCAAAATGCAGGGCAAGTGCATTTTATGAAGGGCAAGTAAATTTGGAGGGTCACTTGCACCGCAGAGCTAGTGGCCCGAAAAAAATTCATCGAGGCCTGGGACTTTCCAGCTTTACTTGTGGAGACCTCATGTACCCTTCTGTGCATTATTTCAGCCACAAACGGGCACCTGAGTAGAACCAATGACTTTCCCTTAGCTAGCTGGATAGCTTTCTGAGGTTCTCACATGAAACAATTCAAAGACCCTTGTATGATTTAAACCTACAGCAGTGACAGGCAAGTTTGAAGTCAACAACCTTAACCACTCAGGGCCCACTATATTCTGCTCTGTTATTATCTTTTATGCATCTCTTATACGACTGATTATTTCAAATTATTTGACTTATTTTAATTATATAAGTACAAGCATTTAAGGGCTGGGATATATTTGTCAAATTATAAATAAATGTTTTGTAAATTAATTGATAAAACTAAACTATTTCAAATTATTTTAACAAGTTATTTAACAACTAAACTATTTCAAATCATTTTAACAAGTTATTTAACATCATTTATAACAGTAGGGCATCCTTTTAGTATGAGAAATGGTTAATTCAGTTAGTACCTAAAAGTACTCAATACCATCTAGAAGAGTATGTAAAGAGACTAGAATAACATAGCTTAAGGTCTTCAGTGTAATGGGTCCCATTTATGTACTGTGACATGACATGAACGCTGAAGACAGACCTGTAGGGAAAGTCCACCAATAATTTTGCCAGGAATCTGACACACTCAAATTAATCAATCTAGCATGCCATGTAGTAAAGCAGTCATCAAAATTAGCACTTGCACGGTGGCCCATGGCCAGTGAAAGTTAGTTGGGGGGGCCAATGAAAATTTTAAGAAAATGTAGTTAAATATAAAGAAGAATAAATTCAAAACTGGAATTCGGGCTAGTAAATTTAAAATCTTAAATTCATTGACTGGTAAAGTGAAGTATATCCAGATAAAACTACTTTTAATCTGTTGATAAGCCAAGTATTGACATGTTGATGTTACATCATCGAAAATATGGGTCAAAGGCATATTTGGTATATTAATTTTTGTTTGTCATATTTTAAGTATGGAGGAATAGTTTCCATGGAATTATAAAGTGTAAATAAGCATACAATTGACTTTAAACTGCCTAGCAAATTATAGGTTGTAAAATTCTTAATAGACAACAAAACACATCTATTAGACACTCTTAATTTAATTTTAATTTGATATTAGTTAACATGTTGTGACAAATTTTTGTTGTGCATTATACAAGACAGTGTTTACCGCAATGGCACTTGCAAGGTTAACAACTGTGGCAGCTTGAGGATGGGAAAATTCAACACAAATAATTGTCTGTTCTTTGTATTTTGGGGGCAATACTACAAATTAACTATAATATAAGAGCTGTATTATAAATATTTATCTCAATTTTATGTGTGTTTGTATGTTAAGAACGCACTCTAACAGTTGTAATTAGTAGAAACAAGTGTCAGCTAAAACTTGACTGCTTTTTGGATAGTTGAATCAATCGCACGAGCTGTCATTTGCAATGCAACGAAAATATGAGAACCCATGATTAAGGATTTAAGGATCAAGATCAGGATCAAATTTTAAACCTCAAATATTATCCTTTTTATATTCAGAACAGGGGTTTATTTAAGCGGACGCCAGCTTGCCCGCGTCGGGTAGAAATCGCTGCGGGCAAGTGAAATTTGAAAGCAAATTGCCCGGCGGGCAAGTGAATTTTCGTTATGCCTTCTATTAGCTTTGATATCCTTTGGCCGATAATATTTTTCTTTCCGTTTATATTACTGTCAAACAAGTGTATTTTTAACTGTTTCTGATTGCAGTTGGACTCCTATCAACCAATCAAATTACGTAAAAAAACTTTTTCCATTTTGCTTTCCTTTCAAAATGGCGGGCGGCGCCGAAAGTTTTCCCATTTTTAAAAGAA